TTGTAATCATTGAGAATTGGATGGTTTCTGGATAACCATCGAACCATTACAGAAAATTGGCATTGAAGCCTTAGTGTTCACAATAGCATTTGTAACCTCCTCATCATGAGGTACAGATTTAGATATAGGAGAGTCTCCCGTCGCGTTTACATTAAGCTTCCTCTTCGCCGAGGAGCTTGCTTTATTGACATTCCTCTTCTTCAAGTTTGCTCCTATTAGCGGGCTGTTACCTCCCCTTTTCCGGCTTGGGACCTTCGGCTGACTTTTACTCTTCTTTGCAGGTTGGGAGATAGTGATGGTCCTCTTTCCTACGCTCAAGTCTAGCTAAAATCGGGAGATGCAAGTCAGAAGTTCTCTGAATGACCGGAACATCCGGTATTGTTGCCTCTGAAGAAGGCAAAGATCATGGTGAGGATCGAAGAGCTGTTGAGGTTCCCATCCCCTCTCTTTTACCTATTGAGTTTTGTACTGAAGCGTCTTGTAGGATATTTGAGGGGAGGTTCTCTCTCGCATTTGGGATGTAGCTTTGGGGAGTCTATCCTCTTGCTCTTCTGACAAAGAGATCCTTTGCAGAACCGATCTTTTTCCACTTGATTTAGAATTTGTAGAAGCCTCTTTGTCCTCTTTGTCCACTTGATCTTTTTCTCTGTCTCCGGCTAATTAGAATAGGAATAAACAATCTCTCAAGAGCAGGTCTCTTCGAGTAATTTTTTTAGTGTCCCGATCCATCAGGCTGGGGCATTATGGTTACTTGACGTTGGGACCTAGGCTCCTCAGTTCTAGGTAAAGACCTCTGACCCGATCTGGTTTCAAAGTGGGGGGCTTTACTTGAGAGAACTGACGATGCTCCAACCTTTGTTCTGGTCTTCTAGCAAGTGCATGGTCCTCTCTCCCTCCTCCTCTGTTTCCTCTGTTTTCTCGGCTTGGGGCTTCCCCTTGGTAATTCTCTCTCACCCGAAACTTATCTGGTAAGGTTCTCTGGGGTCTTTCCTTTGCTTTGAGGTTTAACCTGTCATCATAGCGATGAACGTTTGTATCAGTATCTCTATGTATCTCTTTGGCATCTCGACGGTCCCTCTGTATTTCCCAAAGCTCACTTCTCTGCCTTTTAGCTCTGTCCCTTTGAGATGGGGATCTCACAGCCTAAGGTGATCTACTTCGTGATCTCTTGGTTCGATAGTAACCCAATTCTTTTCCTCCCAATTGCTCTTGATGAGTAGGTCGTAGAGTTCCCCTTCTTCTCTTGTCTTCTTCTAGTCGAGATATGGTCTTCTGCTGGTTTATTCCGAGGCTAGGGAGGGTAGCTTGTTTGTCTTTTGAGATTTTTGGGCAATCTTTTTCCTCATGTGTCAAGGCAAAGCACACAAAACAATGTTTCTCAAGATACTCGTAATCAAACTCAATTGGTGCTTCTGCCCCTCCCGCCTTGAATTGGACTGAATCCTTCATAATCAGAGGTTGAAACGCTTGTATTCCGACTTGAACCCAGCCCTCTTTGATATCTTGATCCATGTATCGTCCTAACAAGCTCCCAATTGCTTTGAGATTATTGTGAGTCCAAAAGTGTGTTGGAAGATCATTTCTTTTGATCCAAAATGGTATTTCACTCGGGAAAGAAACTGCAGTAGACGGTTCCCATCTCTGTATCACCAACATCCAGCGTTTGTAGTGGAAAGGAGCATGACGCAGAACCGAGTTTAAATCTCCTTCTGATTGAAAGCAGAACTGAAATCGTTCCAGCCCCAGAACCTTCTCTTCAACTCTTCCCGAAAGAATCCAAATATGGGGAAAGAAGCTGATGACCGCCGCCGGGCTTTGCGTTGCTGGATGTAAAACCCTCCCGATGAGAGTTAGTTTGTTCTCCTCGATCAGTGTTTTGTCCTCTCCATCTGGGAGGAGAATAGGGGGTTTCTAACCCAATTACTTGATCCTGATATGGCCTTCCCCTTCTCCACTCTGGAAAAACGATGTTGAACCATCGCCTTACCTAGATCGAGTCGTAAATAGGGATGAATCTAGGCAGATCTATAGGAATCGAAGCAAAACGTACTCCACACGTAAGTCGAAAACAACGAAACAAGTAAACGGAACAAGTAAACAACTGCACGTCGCAGTAAAAGAAGCACCACAAGGCTTATATGCCTCACGGCGAGAAATCTGTTGAACCGATCAAGCAAAATATCAAGATCGAATGCCGAAAATTGAAAACCCTAAAAATCGCCTTTTAGAGCTCAACCCTAGCGCCGCCATCGTTGATGTTTTTACTTACTTTTCTATTGATGTTTAAGCTTAGTTTGCACATGTTTTTTCCTCAAAGTCTTCCTGTTTAATCATTTTTAATTTTTCGATAGCTCTATGTTCTAACAGTTTGTATTGTTATTCCCACAATTTAGGGCCTAATGGCAGACTTCGAACGACCGTATGTAACCTTGGAAGAACTTGATGACGCCACGGTGAACACGCAAATAATTGTCCGGTTGATTCGATATTGGGAGGCTCGCAATCCACGGAGAGGCAACCAATTGATGAGCGTCAATCTACTCCTCTTGGACAAGAAAGTAAGACTCATTTCCCTACTCTTTTGATTTATAATGACCGAGTTAATTTGTCCATAATTGAACCTTAGTTTTGTAAGGATAATCTCATAAAAGCTTCCATCAATCATCGTCTCATCGGAAAGTTCAAACACATCTTACAAGAAGGCTCTGTTTTTCATATCAAAAACTTCGATCTTGGAATGAGCAACGACAAGTTTAAGTTAACGGATCACAAATATAATCTCTACTTCAACCAACTCACAACTGTCACCGACGTATTAGACGATTCACCGGTGATTGGGAAACAAAGTCCAGGATTCGGGATTACGAAACTTTGTTAAGGATAGCAAATTCAAATGAGGAACTACCTGGTATGTTCAACATTTATCTTGTATAATCGACCATATATCATTTCTAAGTGTTGTAACATACATTTTCTAGACGTAATTGGAAAAATCGTTTTCATCTTGGGAGTTAATTTGCGTGACATTCAATCAACACAGAAAGTAATGGCAAGCCTTCTGCTAGAAGAGTAAGAAACCTTACAAAAACCTTTTTAACTTAGAATGTTGTTGCCTCTTTAACTTATCGTTTACTTGTATCGGCAGTGGCTCCAAAGTGAGGTTTTCTATATGGGACAACATTGCTTCTGATTTTCGAGCCTTCTTCTCTGCAAGTAGCAAAAACAAAAGAGTTGTTGTTATCACAGCAGTGAATCCAACAATGTATTCGAGGGAACTCATCATCAGCCACAAAATTCTACATGAATGAAGATTTACCAGAAGTAATAAAATATATGGCAAAGTAAGTGCAGAAAACAACTTCCTAACAATAGTTTCGTTTTTTGCTGTGATGACAGGTGTCCTTTTTTTTTTTTAATGTATTGGGCCTACGTTTAAATATTGAAAAATTCTATAAGGGCCCAATAATGCATTTAGTGAAAATCTGAACTTGGATAATGATTTGATTCGGTGTGTGCGGTTAACGAACCCTAGAGATCTCCACTTCATATTCTTCTTTTGGTTCAGTGTATACAGTTATACAAACTCACAAACGTCGCACCTTTCACAAATGTATGCTTTCGTGGCTATAAAAGTAATCGGAGGGGAATTAGATGATTGGGCCTAAATTGTGTCATCTGCTTTTGTGACTATCGCTATGAAAGAAGTTGGGAGTCATGGCGATAGTCATGAGAAGTCACCGGAGCAAAGACATGAGTCGTGGCTGTAGTCAGAGAGGAAGAAGGGGAAGTCGCCGGAGCAAAGACATGAGTCGTGGCTGTAGTCAGAAAGGAAGAAGGGGAAGTCGCCGGAGTAATATCAAGATATGCCAAGGGAGTCGCAATGGTCCGAGAGGAAACACGGTGAAGTTGCCAGAAAATGCTCATGGGATTTCGAAAGATACGGAATGGTGGGATGGAAAACAGGGGAACTTGCAGGAGCGAAAACCAGGGGATTTTAAGGGAGTTGCAGTAGTCGGAGAGGAAACATGGGAAGTTGCCAAAGTCAAAACAGCGAATTTTGCAGGACTGCAATGGTCGGAGTCGGAGAAGAAACATAAGTTTTTAGCTGGAGACTTCGCAGGGGAAGTTTGCTTCGTCGGTGTATGTAAAGTGGGCGTTTGAGGAGACGTCACAAACTTTGACAGAGAAGTAACGCGATGAGATTTACAGGAAGGTGTAATGGAGGACTCGGTAGAAAGTTATAAGAAGAGCAAAAATGATTCCGTTATAAAAAAATCAATCACAAAATCTAGGAGGCCATATCCATAAGTATCAAAGGTTTATTTCTCTTCTCAAAATGTTTGATGGATGCTTGCTATCAAATCATTGTAAGTCGATGCATCTCTCTTTTTTTATTTACGTGTTAAATTAAAGTCTTCATTTGAGATACATAGATGTATGTGTCTCTCATGTGTCACGTTATCTCATAACTTTTCTTCTTTGTTCAAAGACACTCATATATGACGTAAATTATATTATGTAATATAATCAATTAGCGGTTGAAGTTTTTAGCTAAGGCTATTAATTGAATAAGTGGCAATGACAAAATTTTCTCATTGGTTTAATTAATTTTCTCCGGTGTACAAAAAAGAGCAAATAACAAAAGAACACGTCAAAAAGAGCAGATCAATCAGAAAAGAATTCTATAATTTCTCATTTCTCATGCAGTATTTTTAATTGTTGTCCATTTTTTTCTTCAAACTGTGGTAAACAAAATAATGATTGATGATATAACTGATGATTTTAGCCGGCAAAAGAAAAAAAGAAGAAAAATACGTTGCAGAAAATCGTCAGATGTAAACAAGACAATTTTTCGTATCGTTATTTACATGTATATATTAGTTACACTACCAAACTTTCTCAATCGTATTTAAATTGTGAGACTATGTATAGTAAATACACGTCAAGTAAAAGAACAAATGCAAAATCAAGGTTTCTTTTAAAATGAGTAATGTTACAAAAACATTTGTTCTCATATCGTTTGTCCTATTTTATATGGAGAGCTTCCACGAATACATAACACTTTGCCTACTTCTGGTTCAAGTGTTTATTAGGATGTGTTTTTTTATCCAGCAACATCTCGAGTTCCAAGTGTTACTATCTGAAGAAGCTTGAAGGTTCTTATGATTATTCTTTTTATGAAATTTGATTGAACAATAAAGAACCATTATAGTTGTGTTGCAGTAGTTGTTGTCTACCCAAGGTTGGGTGTTCTTAGAATAGGATTGTAAAGTGTACATATTCTTAAGTGTATTGGTTGTAGCAGTTGCTGTGTAACAGTTGCTATATACCCAGGTTGGGTGTTTTAATAAGATAAAGATATCTTGTGTGAATCTCTTCTATCTCTTAAGCTTTCTATCTGGTATTGCTCTATGGTTAGCCTGTACCAGGGTTCTAGGTTTCTC